ACTATATGAAAATCAACTTTGAATCAATTCAAATTATGCCTGCATATTGTTCGAAAAAAGTGAAATAGAAAAGTGGCACTCACTGTCACTTTTTTAGAAAAATGTCAAAGTCTTTCTCGTTGGAATTCATTTATATTAATTAAATATATGCATATATGTGTGGTTGTTAAAATTCAAATATGAATATGAATTGAAACCTTGTTTTATTTGTATTTTTTGTATATGTATTAGTATACTATAACTTGAAAGTGGCATTTTCTGTCATTTTTTCGAAAATGTCGCGATTTATCTCATTTGAATTCTTTAAAATCAAATAAAGAGACGCATACACGTGTATTTACGAAAATATTAAATATGAGTATGAATTCAAATCTTACTTTACATTAAAAAGTGATATGATATGACACATTATTTGTATTTTTGTTTATAAGTTAATTTGCTGAAAATTAAAAGTGACATCAGTGTTACTTTAAAAAAAAATAGATAAAAAATAAAATAAAAGTCTCGCACCATTTCGTTTGTAACTTTTTGTAGATATGAATAAAATTAACGTCTTCATCTGTGATTGAGGCAAATGGGAACAAGACAAAAATTATAAAAGTGAGAAAACGATTTAAATTATTGTCCCAATAGAATACACATACAATCACCTTTTTTAAAAACTTAAACGTCTCTTTTTTGTTAAAAATATGACATATCATGTCACTTTTTTAAGGAGTTGTGTTTAGAAAAAAAAAAAAAAAAAGGTTAAACCCCAACCTTGAGGGTCCTCACCGTCCCGGCCCTGGAGTATTGTGAGGAAGGTAAATTGAGGGATGTGCCCCAACAGGTCAGGAAACAAGAGTTTGCCCGTACACTGGTGTCCATAAAGAGTCCAATTTCATATTTCAGGAATCGAACCTTCACACTGCTGAGACTACCTCACTCCTTTCCTTTGCACCACTAGGATATGTCCCGAGGGGCAAGGAGTTGTGTTTTGATATGATTAAAAAAGGACTAAGTTGTCATTATTATCGTTCATATGCAATTTTATCAATAAAACAACTTATGTATCCAAGTAATGCTATTCGTAGTCGTTCACTGAGGTAGTCGCCCTACGTGGCATATACATGACAGGTGATTATTTAATGCATTAATATGGTAGTTTTTTTATTCATTAATATATCAAATAACCACCTATCATGTGTATGCCACGTAGGACGACTGTCGGAGTGAGCGACTGTAAATAGTATTATTCTATGTATCCCTATATTTACATATAAACTGAAGTTGGCAATAATTTTATGAAATTCAAAGTGCAAAAATGTGATATATTATGTCATTTTTGAAAGAGTTAAGGTACATTTAAAAAGTAACACGGCACTATTTCATAGAAATGGGGTATTTCCCTTTAAATCAATATTCTCGTGATTTGATTAACTCACAATTCTATAAAAAGAGGAAAGAAATACAATTAAATAAAAAGTAACATGAAATTAAAAAAAGTGACAAAATCTCAAGAAAGCGACATATTCAATTTGGGCGTAATTAATACGAGAATTTATAATTCTAATCAATTTTAAGACCTTATCTAATATTTTATTTTTTTAAGGGTAGTGGGCCTATTTTTTTCCCAAGAGCCACAGTACGTGAAAAAGGCTTAAGGACCCGGGTCCCAGCAGGTCAACCAATGTTAGGCTTGTGGCTAAAAAAAGGGTTAAAACCTATTTGAGCCTCATATTTGGGTTAATAGATTTTGAAATAATAGTAGTGATTTTTTTGAGATAATTTCTCAAATATTCATTGAACTTTGTCAAAAGTTCTTAAGAGGCCATCGAACTTCAAAACTTCCCTAAATAGTCGATAAACTTTGCCAAATGTTTCCAGGAGATCATCGAACTTTAAAACTTCCTAAATGATCACTGAACATTGCAAAAAGTTTCTAGAGAGTCACTCAACTTTGCAAATTGGGATCTCATACATCACTGATTTAGTAATCCTTTAAGAACTTTTTGCGCAGTTTAGTGATTATGTAAGGAAGTTTTGAAATTTGGCGACCTCCTAAAAACTTTTGGCAAAGTTCAGTGACTATTTGGGTAATTAACTTGGTTCTTTTTTTCTCTTCCCTTTTTTTTTTTTTTTTTGATAAATATTTGTTGAAAAGTAAGAATAATTTTGAGTTTATATGTAAAATTATTTTATTGAAAGATATGATTGAAAATGAATTTAAGAAACACTGAATTTTTTAAAAATGTGTCAAACAGGTGCTATAGTTTCTCTAACTGATCAAAATTCACGATTTATAAAACTGCAATATTGCAACTTTTTGAATGATTTTATGCGTGATACTACCCTCAATGTTTTTAGGCTAAGGAGGAGAAGAAACTTAGTTTAACAAAAATGTTTGATTCTTCGGTTGTCTTCATTGAATAATAATGTGACATGTGAAAATATTAAAATATGTTATTTCATCTTTAGTTCTCAGTCAGACTGGTGGACCGTTCAATGCAGGAGAAGAAACATAGTTTTCAATATTGGCTTAACACAAGGTTTTAATTGGTCAAGTCGAGTCAATTTATTAAATGTTCCATGCATGAAAAATACCCCATTTCTATGAAACCACTTGTGAAACCACTTATGTTATTCTTTCATGTTTTGCTTCAATTTGTCCGTATAAGTTTCAAATCTTTTAATATTTATTAAGAGCCTATTCGAGAGTGATTTTGAGAGTTGATTGTTTGATCGTTAAGAGAAAAGTGGGGCCCACCTGTAAGAGAAGAAGTCAAATATAAAGGCTGAAATAGTGAAATAACGGTCAAAAAATTAATTTCTTGTGGGAAAAATCACTTCCAAACAGACTCTAAACCTTAAAAAATGTTGGATTTCTAGTACTCGTTTCATTCACAAGACATGGTCAAATTAATTATATGTACCGTTTAGCTTTCATTAACGCGTAATTGGCCGTCCATTCCTCTGAAAGAACCAGCTAAAGACACCTTAACATACAACAAGACATATGTTATGTTCTTGCCTTCTTGGAGTTTAGTTTAATTACACCGTGTATTACATCTATTCATTATTAAAATAAGTACTTTTTTTATACAAGAATTAAAGTGAAAATGATCTCTAGAAGTTCGGTGAGTGCCATGAAATTACACGCATTGAAGTTGCGCATACAACTGCAATTTATAATTACAATCGAGTAAGTTTGTGTATTTATTAAAAATATGAGAATTTTCCATCACGAAATTCATTGATGAAAACCATATCGAAGATGCTTAGCAATTACTACTAAAAAAACATGGCTTCAGGCACAAATTTTTCGTTTCTGAAACCTCGACATCCGTTGCTATTACTCTTTACCAACGGAAAATTTGCAACCGCAAATCCATTGCTAATTTGAGGGTCATTGATAGTTATCAACAGATCCTACCATAGGTAAAAAAATAAACATTTTACCAACAAAATTTTCATTGGTAAAGTGTGAATCTTTTACCAACGAAATTTTTGTTGGTAAAAATCTTAACTAATACCAACTCACTTTCCGCTGGTAAATATCTACCATTACAATTGGTAAAATCAATGTTGTAAATAGTCGCATAAGTGTGAGACATGGTAAAAAAAATATTTATTTATTTTTTATTATTGTTAATATTATTTATTTAATACTTCTAATTTTTTTAACTTTTAGCCAACCGAATTGAAAGGCCAAAATATTGTTTAACTGCTTATTGGATCACAAACTAATTTATAGAGGGCAACTCCGAAGACTTTGTTGTGAACTTTCGATGTCGAATAAGTGAATTATTTTTACCAACGGATAACCTATTTCTAATTATTAACGAAATATCCGTATTTGAAAGATTCAAATGTTAAACAATTACATGAAGCACAAAACATTCTTTTGTAAAGAGATATCATCATTACCAATGGAAAATTCGTTGCTGATTATCGTAGTTGAAAGTGAATTACTTTTACCAACATATTATCCGTTTCCAATTACCATTGGTGATATTCGGAAAGATTCAAATGTTAAATGGATACATGAAACATAAAATATTCATTGGTAAAGAGATATCATCGTTACCAATAGAAAATCAATTACGAATTATCATAGCTGAAAGTGAATAACTTTCACCAACGAATAATTCGTTTCTAAATACCAACGGATGCAAAATGAATTGCATCAGTTGGTAATTTTTCATATGTGAAAAGCTATTTTTTAATAATCAATGAGGAGAAAAATGTGCAAGTGATTAATGTCATTTAAATATTGTCTTCAGCATGGGATTTTACATGTGGTGGGGTTAATTTTGTCAAAGTCAAATATTTAACACGTAAAATTTCATTAAATGGTTGATGACAAGATTTCATATTGTGCCGAACTACTTGGAAGGTTCCATATAAAATAAATAAAAAGAAGGAAAAAAATGAAAAATGAAAAATGAAAAACACCAAATTAAAGCTTATAAAGTTTAAAATGAGCCATTGTAGTACCTTTTAAGATTCATGTTCTCAAATGAGCCACTAACGTCTTAATATGCAATTTTCATTGTAAATATTTCCATCGTTACTATTTTATCTTCATTGTGGTCGTTTTTTCTACTAGTGACAGTACTAATGAATTACTTATAGAACTAATTTAATTGTACATTTACAGAGTGGCACTTAACATTAAAAATGACAGTTCTTATGTAAATATTCGCTAATTTTGCCAATGTACGACGACTAAGTTATGGCCTTTTGGAAATGATGTAGGAAATTTCTAATTACAAGTAAAAAATTACCAAGAAAAGAACATTTTCTAAGCCGGCTCCAATAGTAAAAACAAGAAAATAAAAACAAAGAAATGCCTTCATTATAAATACACAACTTGAGACGAGACAAAAGCGGAAAAGCATTTTCTTTTGTTACCTGAAATCCCTCTCTCCCTATTCTTAACCCTAGGGTGCCCCCATCCCATCGGAGATCATATAGTTTTACACTCAAGAACACTTTGCCTTACTTCAATCTGGGATTTCATGAAGGTACCTAGAAAACACAACAATTCTGAAACTTCAAGTGAGGAAAACTGTAATCGATCCAAGAGAGTTTGTGAAGAAAACCCAGTTGTAAGCAGATCCTACGATTGCGCTTTTTGCAAACGGGGTTTCACCAACGCACAGGCATTAGGAGGGCATATGAATATACACAGGAAAGAAAAAGCCAAGAACAAGAAGAAGAATCTCGAGGAATCTTCAGTGAATTCTGCAGGTTATTTTCCTGCAGTTTCGTCCAATGACCAGGAGCAAAAAGCAATATATTATGCTGGTATAGGGGCACGAGTGAGATTTCAAGTCTACTTGCCATCGTCAAATGTCACGCAGGAAATTCCTCATTTGACATCATCAACAAACCTTAATGATTTGTCTTCTGTTTGGAGATCACAACGTCTTTCTTTGCCCGATGATCATTTGGATGCAAACTTGAGTCTGAGGATTGTCCCGCCACTTGTTGAAGATGGAGTAGGGAAGGAAAATGAAGTAGATTTGGAGCTTCGACTGGGTCATGACCCGTGATCAGGCACCATACTCACCAAAAAAGCTTGAACTATACCAAGGGAAACAGTTATATGTATACAGAGTGAGTTTCCGCAGTTGCTTCATATATATTTGGATTATTATGAATATAACAAACTATAAATTAACTCTAGTTCCTGCTAAAATTGGGGCTGGCTACATAATTTGATTTATTTTTTGTCACTTCATTCAATTTATTGTTAGATATACTGAATTTGATATATAGAATATTGTGCAAGTTACATATTACTTTTTAGATCAAAGGCACATACTCTAGGGAATTTCTTTCTTCAATCGCGACATTGCTTTCTTCTTATTTCTTACAGACTTATGAATCCAATCAATCTTTTATATATCTTTTTATCTCAGTTAATCAAATGTTTAATTTATTATGAAATGATATAATTTACTTTTTCTTTTTCTCATTTCATGATATGCAATCCTTTAGTGTATCTAAAATGGTTCAACTATTTATTCTATTCCATTGGACTGCGTGATTTAATACTTGATTATATATATACACAATACCAAAATTGGAAAATAATTCATCCCATTGTGCATTTATGTATCTGCATCACAAAACATACTTATGATAATGAATTCGTGTAACAAAAATGCAATTTTTCCCCAAGCTGGACAAAGAAATTAACCTAAGTGGGCATTTAGGGTTTATAAAGAGTGGTTAGTACTCAACGAAAGAGTTAATTTGAAGATTTTCTAGTAAAGTTTAATATCTAATACCTAATGTTGCATCTTTAAAGGATCATATATGTTAAGGGATAAAATTTCACATCGTATAGAAAATGAAAATATAGACCAATTTATTAGGATTTCGGCTACTCTTCTTAAAAAGATTGATATTTTAAAATGGAATTCCAAATCTTAACAATACAGAAGCTACTAAAAAATTGAAGTGGTTAAAATTCTCTCTCTCTCTCTTTTGGGAAGTATCTCAAAATTATCATCATCTAGCATTTGGCATTTATGGAAAATTCATATGAACAAAATTTATGGCAAAGAATAGTAATTAGTAAGCTGATATATTGATGCCCATTTAATTTTCATTTTCTTTTTGATGGATGCATGCTTGTTGCGGATTTTACTATGTTGGGTTAAATGTATTGCCGCAAGACAGAACTGTATGATTGTTTCTGTATCAAAGGTCTGCAAATACATTTTGCTTGATTTGATGAGTGAAAATTTAGGACTTTACAAGATTAAGGAAGACGGTTATATGTGTAATATGTTCGTCTATTGTTCTATCTTGTCGAAAGTAGCAAATATTACCTTTAAATTTGTTAAGATTTGGAGTCCATCTTAATAAGGTCAACTTTATTAAGAGGAGTGATCCAAAATCTATTTAAGTTGGTCAATATTTTGGTATTTAACCGATGGGGAATTTATTACTTAACACACCCCCGCAAGATGGTGGCTCTTTTTGAGCAGATTAATCTTGAAATTCGTGTGCTCATTTTTGAGACTTAATTGGATTGAATAGCTCGTTGGAACTTATTGGGCTCTAATACCATGTTAAGATTTGAAGTCCATCTTAATAAGGTTGACCTTATTCAACCTTGTTAAGATGGATCCCAAATCTTTTCATACCAGCATAGTGTATCTTGAAAGATGATGGAGATTTGAAGAATTATGTAGGATTTTTCTAATAGCGAATGGAAATTACATATATAAGATGAGAACTTTCGATGAAACTAAAACACTGTATATCTCATCCTAGGTATTAAGAGAGTAAATTCCATACTAAATAGAGATGAAAATATAGACTAATTCAAAAGGATTTGTACTACTTCTTTTAATAAAGTTGGCCCTTTAAAATCAAATCTCAAGTCTTAATATGGTATTAGAGCTCATTAAGTTCAAACTGGTAATTTGACCCGATTAAAAATCAAAACTGAGCACATATATTTCAAGATTCATCTGCTCAAACGAGCCACCATCTAAAAGAAACATATTAATTGATAAAATCTCATATTTAATAGAGATGAAAATAAAGACCAATTTATGAGAGTTTGGACTACTCTTGATAAAGTTAACCTGAGATGAATCACAAGTCTTAATATTAGGAAACCTATATCCTTCGATTCTGCTACCTAAAAGCTTCCATTTTTTGGGGGCAAACCACAAGAGGATGAAAAGTTCGTTCATTAATGTAAAAACCTAAAGTACAACTGTGGAGGGGGGCTAGTCACAACCTCCAACAAATGAGATCAAAATACAATTTTAATCAATCCAACGAACTATGAGCTAGAACAGATAAAATGAAACAGACTTAAATACTCAATGTACGATGATGAAAGTTCAATAGATACCCGAAGACTACAAGCCTCGAGTGCCATCCCAGTAAGCATATATACAGTAGCATTGTTTCAATTTTCTGCGTGCAACAAGATTCATGTCCGGTTGAATAGAGAATATGTTATCCACTGCACGCATCAAATACACATATTGTAGGCTCTTTTGAGTGGTAAGTTAATAAAGATACTGTCATACTAAAATTTTTATTCTTCTTCAACTTGCTAGCTAATTATACATGCTTAATTGGATTGCAATTTTTGTCTAGTTTTACATGAGATTTTGCCGAGAGACCTACTTCAATAGTACTAGAAAATGTGGATTCTCGCCCCCCGGGGCATAATCCAGTTGTGCAAAGGACAGGAGTGAGGTTATCTCACGCCTTGCTGGCAGCCACATTGTGGAGGTTCGATTCCTGAGACATAAAATTAAACTCTTTGTAGGCGCAGTATACAAACAGCTCTTGTTCCCTAGCCTACTAGGACACATTTCGTAATTTACTTCCCTCACAAAGCTCTAGGGGCGGGGCAAGAGGCCCTCAAGGTTGGGATTCAACCTTTTTTTTTTTTTTTTTTTTTTTTTTTAAAAATTGTCTTGTTGTATGGCAAGTATTCCAGATAAATGGTATTATAAGGGCAACTCCAACCCTTGTATCAAATCCTCATTTTATACCGAATATTTGGGATGATCACACTTCAAACTAACACCAAATTTTGCACCAAAACGATTAATCTCATTTTTGCCCTTATTTTCCATTTGCACCAACTTTTGATAAGAGCATTTTTTGTCACTTTCTTGTTACACAACAAATTCAAATTATTATTATTATTATTATTGTTATTATTATTATTATTATTATTATTATTATTATTATTATTATTTATTATTTTTTTAGTTGTGATTTTTCTATTAATTGAACTACATTCTTTAAATTTATTAATGAATTAAATATTTTTGTTAATGAAACATAATTATTTATTTACAGCCTGTTTGTTTCTCATTTTCATAGTAAAAATGCATTTTGTAATAGTGATTGTTGAAAAATGTGTGATTAAAAAATAAAGAAAATTTTAGTTTTGCGTGTAATATTATTTTATTAAAGAATGTATTGTTCAAAATAAGAGAGAGAGAAATGTATTTTGAAAACAATGGGTATCAAACAAGGACTTTATGATTTATGTAGTAATAAATTAAATAAATAAATTATTTTCATATAAATAAATTATTAAGAATGAAAATAATTATACACTGTTCATTGAGTGTAACTTTTGATATAATGGGTTGGAGATAAATTTTAGATTGATGCGAAATTTGGTGTAATATGATACAAAACTTATCTCGAATTTTGTTGCGTGGTTGGAGATGATCTAAGGAAATGCTCCTGATTGTCAGCTTTTTGGAAAAACTAAGGGCAAAATTTTGAATTAAAGGCATAATATATTGGAAAAGGGACCATTGATAAGTATATTTTACTCATTTATATAGAATTTTCGACTTGTATAATATTTAGGGTGTGTTTGATTGAAATTTTTTTTCATGGAAAATAGTATTTTTCCATCCAAATTCCAACTTTTGAAAAAATATTTCCTAACCTTTGAAAATATACCTTTTTTTTTTTTATTGAGGAAAGCACTTTCTTTGGAGATGTAGATTTTTGTTTTCCTCAAAACATGAAAAATATTTTCTTTTTTAATAGTCAATTTGTATGTCAATCAAATACACCGTTAATGTACTTTACATATAAAATATTGGACTAAGACCTGATTAATTTAGCAAATTTTCTAATCAATTTAATGTACATATTGCTTTTATAGGTAAAAAAATTCGACTTGGGTTTAATTGAGCAAAAGAAGTCGTTTGGAGCTCAATTTGGACAAAATGATGGAATTACACAAGTGTGAAAAGCAATGGGATTCAATCGGACAAATTTGAAAGTCAATTGAAAGATTTCATAAAGTTTGGAGACCAAATTGAATACATTGTAAAGTTTGTAATATTGGGACAATTGAATGAAATTGAAAGCCAATTGGAGGATTTCATAAAGATGGTGACCAAATTGAATACTTTGTAAACTTTGGCAACTAAATTGGAGGACTGAAATTGATACTTCTGAAACTTCAAGGGCTAGATATGAAAATAATTGTTGAAAAATAGAAAAAATAATATAAAAGGTGCCATGTAACAACTTCAAAATTCTGCATGTGGGCCTTAAGTTGGGCTCAAATATAGATGGTGACTATAGCAGGCAGAGCTGGTCATGTGACCAGGCAAATGAGACCTGTGCCTCAGGGCCAATACCATAGGGGGCCATTTTTGACCCAAAAGTATTTTTTTTTTTTTTTAGAAGGGAAAGGAAAATTGTTTTTTTTTTCCAATTAATTGTGAGATGATTGAAATATTTGTTTGTTGTTTTAATGTTAAGTTTTAAGTTGGCAATATGTTGCATAATACACTACTGAATTTTTCATTTATGTTGATTTTGGGAGCGTAATTTTTGAACTTTGCCTCGGACCCCGACAATCACAGGACCAGCTCTGATAGCAGGTAGACTAGTTTTGGAACAAAATAGTTCTCATTGCTACAAGCTAGCGCAATCAAGCCTTATGCGGTCTCAGTTTGCATATATTGAAACAAGAATTCAGTTTTCACCAAATATTTTGACAGCACTTTGGGCATTTTATCTAGCTTGA